GTAATGAGGCCAGAGTTCAGTTTTAATAAATACTATCGCTTTGTGTCTATTTCTCTATTCAGTCAAGCAAACAATTTGGTGCAGAGACGCATGGGGGGGCCTCAGCTGCCATTGTGATGTGCGTGGTCCCTTGTGCGTCCCTGTGCCTTTAAGGGAGGTTGGGCTTCCTCCTGAAAAAAACCTGCACCCAATTTGATCTTTTGCCACATGTGCTCCAAGATGGAGACTCTCATAGTTTAGAGTTAGGACCGCACTATATAGAGGTGCCTTGGCGCGGCTTTCACATTTTCTGCCGAAGACGTGTATCTAAACCTCTGATTTTAACCTTAGCGGTGAGACAAGTTTTTTTGCATGCTGGTTGGTGAGTGTGCTGGGAAACTTTTTGCTATTTCTCTATTCAGACACTGCTGAGAAGCTGAACCCTACACATAACATCCCAAACAGTATACCCCAAGACGTCCTCACCTTGTAATTGTGTGGGCTGAGATGTTTGAAGCAGCCAAAACAAGCATACAAAATGGAGACCAGAACGGTCAGGAGAATGATGACCAGTGTGAACAGAGTCGGGGCTTTCAATCCTGAAAAGAACAAATAGACTAGATTATGGAAATGGCTAGTATAATAAACTTCTGTAAAGAGACAGATTTACAATTTCAGTATAAATACAGGAAGAAGGCAACCAATAAGAAGAATGAACTTCATTGTTTATTTCTCTAATTTAACTTATTCCCAAACTTGTCCCTTGTCTCGTTTCTAAATTCTGGAGGGCTTCTAATATGCAAATTATCGGATATCCTTAACCAACACCTAGAAAGAATTGTTTCTCTTCTGCAATCACATTGGTGCTATCTGTCTAGTTTAGCTATGAATACAGGTGAAACTCGAATAATTAGAATATCGTGCAAAAGTAATTGCAGTAAAGTGCTGCAAAAGGGGCCCAAACCAAGTACTGAGTACATATGCATGCTTGTACTTTTCAGAGGTCCGATATTGTTCTATGTACAATCCTTGTTTTATTGATTGCATGTAATATTCTAATTTTTTGAGGTTGTGGATTTGGGGTTCTTGGGGTTTTCATGAGCTGTAAGCTATAATCATCACAATTATGACAAATCACGGCTTGAACTATCTTGCTTTGCATGTAATGAGTCTATCTCAAATATTAGTTTCACCTTTTAAGTTGCATTAGTGAAATAAATGAACTTTGCACGATATTCTAATTATTCGAGTTTCACCTGTAGTGCTTAGCAGAGTGCATCTGTCCTTAAGTAAAATGCTTGTGTCAAAAACCTCAGATGGAAGTTGCCTCCAGGACCATGTAGCAGCTCTGGGGTCAGTAAAGCTGAGCCAGTTCTGCTTCACTGTGCGGTGACTGTCCTGGAAGTAGTAAGCTGCCCGTGTGGCTGGAGAGTGGTCCTGGCCATCAGAGGCTTCATATACAGATATTTTGCTGCAGGGTAGATTCCCTTTAGGACACTCACATCGAATCCCAACTGATCAGCTGTGATTGAACTTTTCCGGGTCTTTATCTTTTACCTTTGTGGCGCACAGCCAAATGAAACTCTCGTCATGATGCCACTTACCCATCCGCAGGAGAGAGAAGAAAAACAGCCACATGAGACACAATATGGGGGCAGCCAGAGACTGACTGACAGCTGAGAAGTGGATCTTCTTATCCAGTTTGGTGGGGAGATAGGCGTAGAATAGGTTGTACCGATCCACCAGATGTTTAAGAAGCATGTAGATCAGACCTGGGGACATCAAAAAGGAATCTTAAAGGAGTGCCGACTGCAAAACACGGCTACATGAGATGTAAACCCAATAAACCAAAACCCCATATAAAGCTCCAACACCTCAATGTAATTTCAAAAGTTGTTTTAGTACTTTTAAATCTGCAGCTTTCATTAAAAGAATCCATGGAGATCCTACTATGTCGGTCCTTGTTCAGGAACTCCCTGGTGATAGTCTTCTGTCCCCGTTTCCCAGTTGTGCTCCTGCATTGTCACCCTGTCACATGGGCTTTCGATGGAGACTACAAGTGGCCGTTTCCACACATTATCCAGGTATGATCCATTGCTATCACCATCAAGAAACCTGCCCTGAGAAATGCCATGCATCTGTGCATGTCTGTACTCCTGCTGTGCCCATTATGAGGGACTGCCACCATCCCTGCACTGAGTTTCCGGGTCTGTACACCTGCTGTGCCCATTATGAGAGACTCCCATCATCCCTGCATTCAGTTCCTGGGTCTGCACACCAGCTGTGCCTTTTATGAAAGACTCCCATCATCCCTGCAAGGAGTTCCTGGGTCTGTACACCTGCTGTTCCCATTATGAGGTGCTCCCATCATCCCTGTGCTGAGCTCCCAGGACTGTACACCTGCTTTCCCCTTTATGGGGGGCTCCCACCATCCCTGCACTGAGTTCCCTGGGTCTGTACATCTGCTGTGCCCATTATCAGGGGCTCCCACCATCCCTGCACTGAGTTCCCAGGTCTGTACATCTGCTGTGCCCATTATCAGGGGCTCCCCCCATCCCTGCACTGAGTTCCCAGGTCTGTACATCTGCTGTGCCCATTATCAGGGGCTCCCACCATCCCTGCTGGAGTTATATTATGGAGAATGTAACAGGAGGAGGGAAACACCCAAATCTCCCTGAAAACAGTGTCAGGAATTATGGCTGAGAGATTTCACTTTTGGTGTACCCAGGACACCTAAGAAGCCGGGGACTGACTAAGCTCACTAGGCTCCACCTAAAACCAGGCTCCACCACTTTAAATTCATCATGCCCGCCAAGCAGACAAAGGTACAAATTGGGCTCCAGTTTGAGTGAGTGCAGATAAGTGAAAACAAAGAAGAATCACTCCTTCAGTCTCCCCTTATCTACTGGTTGGTTTAACCAAAGATCACTGAATAAAGATCAGATCATCTCATGTACAATTCTGGAACCACACAATGTAATCTAGGGTTAACCCTAAGAGCATTTAAATATCAGACAGCAGCTGTAATTTGACTGCTTGGCTTCAGGGATTCACCCAGTGCTGCTAACTCCTACAGACTGTTACTTACCGAAAGGCATAATAATGGGACATGTGATGCTGTAAGCCATGATGACTGTGAAAACACAAAGCATCCCAGCGTACATCGCTCCAAACTGAAATTCATAAGCCTGGTGCTAAACGGGAAGACATGTGTCAAATCATACAAGCCATGCCATGTCAGGTTAAAAAAAAAAAAAAGACCCCTAGTCCAACCAAGAGACAGATTTATAAAAACATTATTAAAATGACAGTAATACAAAAATAAATTAATAAAATGGCAAAAAGACAAGACAAAGTATTGTGAAGAACACATAGAAACCATATTCAGACTTTCACTCGTCCAAGGAAAAACAAAACATAATGTCCGATAGGTTGCTGTGGGGAATGAAGGCGATTTGTCAGGCACTTTAAAGCATATGTCAAGTGGCAAACTTTTTTCTCTAGTTTTAAAAGGAGCAGAGAAGAATTTGAACCCTTGTCTGGTTTTTACTGTTATGTAGGGTACATCCTGCTGACCAGTCCTGCTTACTTCCTGTTTTAACAGATAGGAAGGAATGGAAAATCTGCAACAGGGACACAAAGAAAAATATCATCTGACAGGGGTTCTAGCCTTCCCATACTCTACTAAAAAAAAACATTTGGATTATTCCTTATAAAAAAATAGAAAAAAAAATAATGAATATCATGTATTCTCTTTTTGAGCCAACAAGTGGAGCTCCAGGCTCCTTTTCAGTGTTTTATAGCTTCTCTTTGCCTCCTATTGAAAAAAAAAAATCATCTTTACAGAGCTCAATAGCTCAAGCTGGAATTTTCACCCATGTGAATTAAGCAGATGTGTTAACATATGTCACAACCACGCCATGGATCCACAGTCAACAGTCCAATTGTCTATTAAAGAAATCACATAACAGTGTCAGTGCAGTGTTTCATGGCCATGCAGGACCTAATCTAATCATCAGGTATGCGTTGTCACATGCCTGACAAAGAGGTCCTGAGTGGCCTCAAAACGTTGCCTGACACTGTTTGTGATGTGATTGCTTTAATTAAATAATTGGACTTCTGACTACAGATCCATGGTGTGCTGGCGACATACATTCTTATCCATGTGCTGACACAGGCCAACCTGCTGGTAGTTGCTACAGCACCCTATAACTCTAGGCCTTGTGCAGGAGTATGTACAATGGGAATATTCTGAGCAGTCAGTAAAGCAAATTTGTGACCAATTTAAGGTCCCTATCTCACATGCATACATACAGGGCCAGTTGTAGACAGGAGCCAATTAACCTTCCAGCATGTCTTTGGAGTGTGAGAGGGAACTGCAGTACTTGGAGCAAACCCCCTGCAGATAGTGTCCTGATGGGCATTTGAACTAGGGACCTCCAGTACTGCAAGGCAGAAGTGCTAACTACTACGCCACTGTGCTTGGTTTATCTTGCGTTCTTCACCTCTGAGTCTACGTCATACCTGCTTAATATTCCGCCTTTCCGCTGCGGACTTGGCCAGAACCATGCGGACGGTGTACAAGATGAGCCCTGGAAGACGCATCAATTCCAGCCCATTCCCGATAAAGGCCGAGGCGATTACATAGTTGACAAAGAAGGCCCCCTGGTCAGGAAGGAATACACACCTGAAATGCAAAAATATTTAGTTAGCAAACTTTGTTCTGCTTGCTGAATATATATATATATATATATATATATAAATATATATATATATATATATATACACATATATATATATATATATATATATATATATATA